GCGTGGCTCTACCTGTGCCTGGGATGTAACTTCGACGCGGATGGAGGTCTGGTGCTTGGAGGGGGGCCTCTTCCATGAGCGCGTGCTTCGAGTCCCGAGGGCGCAGCGTCGACTGGTAGTCCCCCGACGACGTGTCTCTTCGCTCCGACGGGGGTGTCGCTGCGCCGAAACCCTCCCGCGTTGTAGGGGCTGGGCTTGATGGCGGCGAGCCGCTTCTGAAGTTCCGGTGGCGGCGAGAATGCGGGCGCGTGGGGACCTCCGAGGCGTCGGCAAAGTCTGACCTGGCACCTACCTCCTGAAGCCCCAAATCTAATGCCCGATTCTCGGTCTCCCCTCCTCGTTCAAGCTGTTCCTGCATCCTGCCTGCGCACCCCTCTAGAACCTTGCTGGGCATGTCGTCTACGAGTCCTGCGAGACCAACCTGTCCATCCTCGTCGCTTGGCCACGGGGGGGTCGCCTCCGGCACAACGCGCCGCTGATTCGCGATAGCGGCATCTGTGTATGTGGCAAAGGGTGGCATATACGCACTGTTGAATGAATGCCTTGGTGGCCCCCGTGTCCCCTGAAATCGCCGTTCGACGCGCCCGTAATTAGTGGCTTCCAGACTCAGCAGCAATGCGCTATATTACGCAGTGCGCGATCCTCGATGAACTGAAGGTCTTGTGGGTCATGGCAATCCTTTGCTGTCTCGAGTATGCCCTTATGATGTCGGCTGTATTGTGCGTTGACGGCGTCGCGACATCTAAGGAGGTGCGATGCTCCTCCCGACAGTGGGTGGTGCCGCGATGCGAGCTGCACTCCCGCGGCCGCTTTCCTGCCCCCCAACTGATTCCACCATCGACCCGCCCGGGCGCAATCCAGGGGGGCTCTTCCCCATCAGCTGCGCGGCGTTGTAGGGCCGTCCGAGGGGGCGGAGCTTCGTGGTGAGGCGTGCTCCGTCGCGCTCTAGCTTCCGATTGAACTCGGGAATTCGCGCGGCACGCGCGCGCTGCGGCGCGCGGGCGACCTGTTCGCGCGACGACGTGCTGCCAACGGTGCCTGGGGCATGCCGCGAGTGTGCGGGGTCTTCAGGAGGCGCCGTCATGCCGAACCCCTGACCCAACTGTTGGACGTCGGTCGTCGGCGGCGGGGGGGGGGGGCTGCGCTCCAGCCCGGCCAAGGTCTCCAAAACTTCAGCTTCCAAACACTCTACGGCGTCGCTCTCCTGTCTTCGGCGGCCAAGTAAGCAGCAGCACTGTCCTCCATCCTCTCCCTGACCTCATCCTTCGCCTCATGCCTGGCCTGTTCGACTGTGAAAGGCGCGGCGCTGCGTCCCCCAGGGCTGGGCTCCAACTTCAGCCTCCGCGCCCGCGCGCTGGCCGATGCCGAAGGTCATGCCGCTTCGGTGAACCACCTCTGACGGGGCCCTCTCCGCTGACCAGCGATGAGTCTGGCGAGTGTCTGGGCGAGGTGTCCATTCTGGTCTTTGAGGGCGGCCGTCGTCTCGGCGCATCTGCGAGCTCTGATCTCCTCCCAGTGCGCGCGCGTGCCTGAAGTGCTTGCTGATTCGCTGCGTGCGCTTGCTTAACTCGTGCGTGTTGTGATCGTCGTGCTCCTCCATGTACCTCCACCTCTTCTCCAACAGTGTGCGCAAGTCCGTGGCGTTTGCCCTGCGATCCTCCGCGCGCAAGGGGCTGCCACCCAGTGCATATGTGACAGCCTCGTTGAGGGTGGCTGTGGACATGAAATGAATATCATCCACGCGTCCTTTATCCTGGGCAGTGCGGAATCTATCTGCTCAGCCTGTGTGAGTCAGTGCTTCCATGCGCTGTAGTACCTCTAGGTACTGCCCATTCCTATCCCGCAAGGAGCGGGCGAACAGCGACCGAACTCGGAGTGGGATTTCCCCTGCCATGTGGCCAGCAACTCGATCTCCTGTTGCATGTGGGAGGGCCCCATTAACGTCGAGTACGAGGCTGGGTATGTCACGTCTCTCAACGAGGAAGTCCATCACGCCAGTAAGCCACTCATTCATTGCTCGTGCAATCATTTGGTAAGTATCTCGCTCCTTGCTGTTCGTCTGGTCAGGTGGATCATACATGACGACAGCACCATATCTGATGACCCTCACTATCGCGTAATACACCGTGCACGCGTCCCGCGAGTTGCTTCGGTGCGGTGTGCTTGATACAGTGTACAACGAATCGTGTTCGCCGAGGACATACCGGTACCCCGCAGCTACTGATCACCATCCTGCCCTTGACGTGGCCCGCCTCGATCATCGTGTCATCCCACCGCCTCCTTCCCCTCCTCTCACTGCCCGCCCCCGCTCAGGTGACAACCCTCGAGGGGGACCGGCGGGATCGGACGAGGGCGGCGCACGGCCCGCCGCCAGTCTCCCATCAACAGGAGAAAGAGGGGCCCGCGCGACAGTTTCGGTGTGTGCTGCCTTGTCGGTGGCTGGAGCAGAAGATTCCGAAGCGTGTGCCGCCGGGAGGATGCGGAGGAGGAGGAGGAAGAGGCGGAGGAGGAGGAGGAGGAGGAGGGGGAGGAGGAGGAAACGCGACGATCACGCCCGCATCTCGGGGGTGGACAAGACCTCTTTTAGCACAACACTTGTTCACCGATCGCGCTTCGCCAGGGGGGGCTCAATTCAGTAGAAAAGCGCCACAGACGAGTCCCACAAAAGCGATGGGTATTTTGAAGACGTTTGGTCTGGCAGCTGCTCTGGCAGCTGCTTCGCATGAGTGTGCCTCACCTTTTGCATTCAAACATCGTGGTCGCTGGATGCATCTTTGGTCCGGACGGCTGCGGCCCCCTGTTATAACAGACGCTAACATGCACAGGGCCGCACTCCCACACTTGTCCCGTCTGCATCTCTTCTTCCCTACCCCTGCCCATGCTGCCATTCGAGCGCTCAGCTGAGGCAGTTCTGTCGCGGCGCTGGCGGTCGCGCAGCGCGGGCAGGCCTTGGTCGGGCGAGGGCGGGGGAAGGACGAGGGCGGCCGCGGGGAGGGAACTGCAGGCGGGCGGCGGGCGAGGCGCTCCGCATCATGCAGTCCTTCACGCTGGTGACGCGGCCCAGGCTCCGGGCAGCCCTTCCGTGAAACCATCCCAGGACCAGAGCTGGCGGGCGCGGGCCCGCAACATTGCGGCCGCGGTGCGCTGTCGAGAACCGAGGGAGAACAATTCGCGAATCGATTTGGCAAGGTGGGTTTTCTGTCAACCTCCGAGCATCCGTGCACTCCCAGTCTGGATGGAGGCTCTCGAGGTCCCAGAAGCCTAAGCTGAGGCCAAAGAAGAGCAGAGCCGAGAACGACAAGAAACACTCGATCCCCGATCCGATTCGGTCCCCCCTCTGCTGTCCTCCTCATCCCTGCCCTCGCGCACGACGAGCATGTCCACACTCATGCCCTCGCCGTCTGGATGCACAGGCGCGATCCCATCTTGGCTGCACTCATACGCAACACACACCCGGGACCGTGTCGGCACGGAGCTCCGTGCGCGGATCGAAAACGCAAGCCTGGCGCGGCACACTCCCTTGAATGTAGGCCGGCACGCGCTGCGCCAACATGCGGCGCACTTAACCTGGACGCTTTCGACACGCGCATCTCGGAACATCTCAGAGCAAGTGAACATCTCACGCGGGCATCTCAGAGCAAGTGAGGATAACATTCGGTCGGGCATGTCCCCCTACAGGGGGATCTTGGACGACAAATGGAAAAAATAGTGGAAATAGACCCCCGAATGCTCAAACATTGGGAAAAATCGTCCCAAGACTATTTTTTGACTGTTTCTGAATGTTCCTCCTGTAGAGGGACAAGCCCGACTTGAGGACAACACGGGTGCGCTGTCCCACCGGGGATCTTCTGACCCAGGTCAATCCAGACCCGGGTCAGCAAGAAACCAAAAACTGCAATGCAAGAAAAAAAACTGCAACGCAGGTCTTCGCAAACCCGGGTCAGCCAATATGCGCGGCCGCCTCGCGGCCACGAGCGGCTCGCTAACCCGGGTCAGTCAGAGGGGGTCTTCGCAGGATCCTGCAGGATCTGGTGCCCTGGCTGACCCCCGTTTGCATTGACCCCCGTCTCAAGGCTCCCGATCCCACGGGTGCGCTCCACGCCCGGCATCCGTGCGCAGCCGCTCCGGGCACCCGAGGGCCTGCGGGGCCGAAGGGCCCAGGCCGCGGCGCCGCGGAGCTGGACCCGTTTCCCGCCCGCGAAGGTTCGGGCGCTGCCAGAACTGGGTCTAGCGGGGCCTGGTGTAGTGATGTGTGCTGTGCTGCGGGATGACGATCATTTTTAAAAAGGGGAGAGAACGATTAAAACATAGTTTTCTGCTATTTCTGTACAGTTTTCTGCCTGGAGGAGAACGATTCACAAAATATTTGTTTCCAGCCCGCGGCCGGTTTTTTCTAATCGTCATCCTGGGCGCCGCCGCGTGAACACGACCCCTGGTCATTTATTAATCGTCATCCTCCATTTCTGGGGGGCGTCCCCCCGCCCCGTTCCACTAACCGGAACTGCCGCCACCCGAAAAAAACACCAGCCACGGCAGGCCTGGTCTCGTGATGCTGGCCAATTCAGGGGCTCCGGGGCCCTGCCACTAAGCGGGTCCCCTTCCCTGGGGCCCTGGCTATACCCGAAAACGTGAAAAGGGGGCCCTGGGGCACACAAGTTAACAGACACAGATCCCAGGACTCCCCACATTTCCTCATGCTTTCGGGGTTTTCGTCTCCCACCCCGCTTCTCATATGTTCTCACATTTTCCTTGGAGTCGACGATGAATTGTGTCTGTGCGTTTTTTCCCCCTCCTGAGAAGGGGAGAGAGTCGGGTCGGGCGAAAGGGGGGGATAGCAAAGGGAGGGTTAGAGAATCAGCTCATGTAGCTGATTTTCCCGGCGCCTCCTGGCGCCGGAGGCGGCTATGTATCGAGGAATGGGCCCCTCGGCGGGGCCGAAACCAGCTGCACGCAGCAAATTTCGTAACCCCTCCTTTCCCAATCCCCCCCTTTCGTCTGGCCCGAGAGAGGCTCCAGGAGCGAGGCTCAAGGCTCGAACTTGTGTGGGCGGTATTGGCTTCTTTTCGGCCGGCTCGGCGCCCTCCCTCGCTGCACCGTCGAGGACAGGTCGGGGGCGAGCGCCGCCGCGCCACACGCTTCAAATTCCACGGCCCTCGCCAGAGCTGCACGGCGCCCCAGGCGCGACAGGAGGCGGCGAATGTCGCGGCACAGCGCGGCCCCCGCCGAGACACGGCAAGCAGCGAGCAGGCCCTCACCTGAGAGATCGCGCTCCTTCTGGCCGGGCGGAGCCGCGCTGCTTCGGCGAGGGCCGCAGGGGGCCCGTGCCATCACCTTGGAAGCGCGCTCTCTCGATCCAAGCCGACTTTGTGGTCGAACCCCGCAACCTGAACCAAACAAGCATGACATCTCTAGGGGGCAAACAAACCTACCTCGCTTCTGACCACCCTCGCTTCCAAGAGATACCAAGCGATGCCAAACTACGGCCTGTACTGGTCAGGCCGCTTGACGAGGAGGCGCGTGGTATGACTTGGTTTAGCCTGGAAGCGAAAGCGGGGTAGGTAATTCACGCTCTGAATCTCTTTTGGGGCGCATCCGTTGCTCCCGCCAAGTGCCGCCTGGCTCCGCCGGCGGGGGCGGCCTCGTCTTCCTCCCGCCGGCTCCCGCCGTCCTTCTGCCAGCGCCCGCCGAGGAAGGGAGGGCAACTCCTCCGATCCTGGACTGGCCATCGCTCGGACGTCCCTTCCCTGTGTCTTTTTTTCGGCCTCGTGCGTGGCTTCTTCGCCAAATGAGATCAAGGATGCTCCTCGATGGTCCTTCGATCCTGGACCTGGCCATCGCTCGGACGTCCCTTCCCTGTGTCTTTTTTTCGGCCTCGTGCGTGGCTTCTTCGCCAAATGAGACCAAGGATGCTCCTCGATGGTCCTTCGATCCTGGACGTGGCCATCGCTCGGACGTCCCTTCCCTGTGTCTTTTTTTCGGCCTCGTGCGTGGCTTCTTCGCCAAATGAGACCAAGGATGCTCCTCGATGGTCCTTCGATCCTGGACGTGGCCATCGCTCGGACGTCCCTTCCCTGTGTTTTTTTTCGGCCTCGTGCGTGGCTTCTTCGCCAAATGAGACCAAGGATGCTCCTCGATGGTCCTTCGATCCTGGACCTGGCCATCGCTCGGACGATTTTCAATCTGCTCCGAAATGAGACCAAGGATGCTCCTCGAGGGCCCTTCGATCCTGGACCTGGCCATCGCTCGGACGTCCCTTCCCCGTGTCTTTTTTTCGGCCTCGTGCGTGGCTTCTTCGCCAGATGATCGAGGATGCTCCTCGATGGTCCTTCGATCCTGGACCTGGCCATCGCTCGGACGTCCCTTCCCTGTGTCTTTTTTTTGGCTGCGTGGCTTCTTCGCCAAATGAGACCAAGGATGCTCCTCGAGGGCCCTTCGATCCTGGACTGGCCATCGCTCGGACGCCCCTTCCCCGTGTCTTTTTTTCGGCCTCGTGCGTGGCTTCTTCGCCAGATGATCGAGGATGCTCCTCGATGGTCCTTCGATCCTGGACCTGGCCATCGCTCGGACGTCCCTTCCCTGTGTCTTTTTTTTGGCTGCGTGGCTTCTTCGCCAAATGAGACCAAGGATGCTCCTCGAGGGCCCTTCGATCCTGGACTGGCCATCGCTCGGACGCCCCTTCCCCGTGTCTTTTTTTCGGCCTCGTGCGTGGCTTCTTCGCCAGATGATCGAGGATGCTCCTCGATGGTCCTTCGATCCTGGACCTGGCCATCGCTCGGACGTCCCTTCCCTGTGTCTTTTTTTTGGCTGCGTGGCTTCTTCGCCAAATGAGACCAAGGATGCTCCTCGAGGGCCCTTCGATCCTGGACTGGCCATCGCTCGGACGCCCCTTCCCCGTGTCTTTTTTTCGGCCTCGTGCGTGGCTTCTTCGCCAAATGAGATCGAGGATGCTCCTCGAGGGCCCTTCGATCCTGGACTGGCCATCGCTCGGACGCCCCTTCCCCGTGTCTTTTTTTCGGCCTCGTGCGTGGCTTCGCCAGATGATCGAGGATGCTCCTCGATGGTCCTTCGATCCTGGACCTGGCCATCGCTCGGACGCCCCTTCCCCGTGTCTTTTTTTCGGCCTCGTGCGTGGCTTCTTCGCCAAATGAGATCAAGGATGCTCCTCGAGGGCCCTCGCCGAAGGAAAAAAAAAAAGATGCACGCGGACGGCGAGAGGCCCTCCCTGGAGCGCCTCGCGTGGCCCGATCCCGATCCCGAGGAGAAGGAGGTGGAGGAGGAGGAGGAGGAGGAGAAAGAGGAGAAAGAGGAGGAGGAGGAGGAGGAGGAGGAGGAGGAGGAGGAGGAGGAGGAGGAGAGGAGGAGGAGGAGGGAGGAGGAGGAGAGGGAGGAGGAGGAGGAGGGAGGAGGGAGGAGGGAGAGGGAGGGAGGAGGAGGGAGGAGGAGGAGGAGGAGGAGGAGGAGGCGGAGGAGGAGGAGGAGGATGGAGGAGGAGGAGGCAGGAGGAGGAGGAGGAGGAGGAGGAGGAGCGGGCGGACCGGCCCGCCCCAAGCGGGGGGCCCCCCCGCCGATCGATCGAGCGCCCCGCGGGCCGCCGCAGTCGCCGTCGGCCGACGGAGCGGCCAGGCGGGCGGGCCGCTTCCAGCCTGCGGCTCCCGCTCGAGGCCTCGCTTCTGCGTGTCGCCCGGAGCTCAACTTGGCTGGCGGTTGCACGGGCGAGCGTTTTGGTGTGTTGTTGTTGTTGTTGTTGAACATTATTTCTTCTTAAGAATAATTATTGTTGGGACCCCTGGTGCACGACCCCCCCGCCGCGCCTAGGCCGCAGCCACATTTTCATCATTTTCGTGAGGAAGTCTCAGGCAAAACGATTGGTACCGGATCCGGTTGTTTTGTTGACGCTCGTTTTCCCTTGCAAAAAACATCATAAAATGAAAATTCTTGTTCTTACTTGATCAAATTGCAAGAATCCCTTGCAAAAAATAAGGTAAAGTGGACATTCGTGCGCGCAAGACGAAATCCTTCCAAAACCTTAGGTTTCGTAACGATTTTAACATAAAAACATCAAAAACCCAATGGTTTTTTAAGAAAAAATTGTCAAAATGTCCTTCCGCGCGCGTTGTCCGAATCCTACAAAACCAATGGTTTTTCAACATTTATGTTACATGAGCTCGCGCGAGCTACTTTTTCTTGTTCTAACATAATCAAATTTCAATAATCCCTTGCAAAAAATAAAATAAAGTGGACATTCGCGCGCGCAAGACGAAATCCTTCCAGAACCTTAGGTTTCGTAACGATTTCAACATAAAAACATCAAAAAGCCAATGGTTTTTCAAAAAAAAATGTCCAAATTTCATCCCGCGCGCGCTGTCCGACTCCCACAAAACCAATGGTTTTTCAACATTTATGTTACATAAGCTCGCGCGAGCTACTTTTTCTTGTTCTTACATAATCAAATTTCAACATCCCTTGCAAAAAAAAAGTAAAGTGGACATTCGCGCGCGCAAGACCAACAAAAAACACGACGATCTCAGGAACTTGCCCCAAAAATGTGACCAACTCCGCTCTCTCTGTCTCTCTCTCTGTCTGCTCTCTGTCTCTCTCTCTGTCTGTCTGTGTCATGTATTGTATGTCACAATTGCAGGATGCTGGGCACACGCGCGCCCCGAATAAGTGACCAAGTTCTGTGGGTGTGTACCCCACGCCAGTGTAGTAGCCACGGTCGTCCGCACGCCACGAAGTGAAGTGTCCGAACGTCATAGGGCGGGAAGCTGGGTGTGGGTGGTGGCGAAGAGTCGTTTGGATATTTGGTAGAGCTTGAACTGCCCCCCCACAAAGTGGGGGTATTGCCGTCGCATGAAAACCCTGGCACTGGTGAGAACGGAGTGTTCGTCTTAAAATGATTGTTGTTGTTGTTGTTGTTGTTGTTGTTGTTGTTGTTGTCGTAGTCGTCGTTGTCGTTGTGGTTGTTGTTGTAGTTGTTGTTGTTGAACATTATTAATTCTAAAGAATAATTATTGTTGGGACCCCTGGTGCACGGCCCCCCTGCGCCGCCTAGGCCGCAGCTACATTTTCATCATTTTCGTGAGGACGCCTCAGGTAATTCGATGTGATCAAGATCCGGTTGTTTTGTTCCCCCCCGCTTTCCCTTGCAAAAAACACTATAAAATGACATTTCTTGTTCTAATATAATCAAATTTCAAGAATCCTTTGCAAAAAATAAGGTAAAGTGGACATTCGCGCGCGCAAGACGAAATCCTTCCAAAAGCTTAGTGTTCGGAGCGATTTTAACATAAAAACATCAAAAAACCAATGGTTTTTCAACAAAAAAATGTCAAAAATCTCATCCCGCGCGCTCTTGCGGATTCGTAGGAAAACCAACACTTTTTAAACATTTCTGTCAAACGGGCTTTTGCGAGCAACTTTTTCGAACTTCTGCGACAACGTTTGCGCACCTGCCAGGGCCATCATCCCTGTCAAATAATACCATGCGGGACACATTCGTTTTTTCTTCGCGCGCGCACGCCGAAATCTCCAAAAACCATTGGGTTCTTAAGAATTTTAGCACCGCGCATCATAAAATCACACGAATCGCACCGTAGGTCCTCGAAAAACACCTGCACGACTTTTCAAAATTTCCACCCGCGCGCGCTGTCCTAACAACTTCTGTGGGTGTGTACTCCAAGCCAGTGTAGTAGTAGTAGCCACGGTCGTCCGCAGGCCACGAACGTGAAGAATAGTAGTAGCCACGGTCGTCCGCATGCCACGAAGTGAAGTGTCCGAACGTCATAGGGCGGGAAGCTGGGTGTGGGTGGTGGCGAAGAGTCGTTTGGAAATTTGGTAGAGCTTGAACCGGCCCCCCCACAAAGTGGGGGTATTGCCCGCCTCCTATGAAAACCCTGGCACTGGTGAGAACGGAGTGTCCCCAGTCTTAAATGATTGTTGTTGTTGTTGTTGTTGTTGTTGTTGTTGTTGTTGTTGTTGGTGTGTGTGTGTGTGTGCGTGCTCGTTTGGCAAGGAATGGCAGGCTCTCGCTTTAGACTTCCTCAGGGTCCGCCTCCGTGTCTGCACGATCTGGGCGTCTGCGAGTGTCAGGAGCTGCGCTGCACGGCTCTTGTGTTACATTAAGGGGTCCCCCCTCCACCACCGCACAGTTGCATGCATCACCCCTGCTCCCGAGGCCACGACCTCTCGTGCAAAAACGATGGTTCCGCGCACCCGAGGCCACGATCCCTGGTACTACAAAACATGCGTCCGCGTCCGAGCTTCCAAGACGGCGCAGGCAGGCAACCAAGGCAACCAAGATGGCCCCAAGGCGGCCGAGTATGGCCTCAAGACGGTACAATGTGTCTCCGAGAGGGTCCACAAGGGCTCCAAGAGGGTCCGAAGAAGTCAAAGTGACATTCCTTGTTCGTTTTTGATTGCTCTCGCCTTTTGGGGCTCCCGCCAGCTTGCGACGGCTTAAGAAATCTCCACGATGGACTTACGACGGCCCGCGAGGCCCCCCCCACGAGGGTCCACAGATGGCCCAGGAAGACCTCTCGAGGGCTGAAGAAGCGTCCGAGACGGCCCAAATACTGCCCCAAAAGGGCCTCCTGTGGGACCCAAGATGGCCTGAGAAAGCCCTTCGACTGCCCAAGCCGGCGCTAAGACAGCCCCCAAACACCCACCATGCGGCCAAAAGGTCGCCAAGACGGCTCATGAGAAAGACTACCTAAGAGGGCCCTAGAATGGCCCAAGAGGGCCCCAAGGGGCCCCCAAGACTGCCTCACAGGAGGCTCAGGCAGCCACATGACGTACCACACGAATTCCATGAGAGCTCCAATCTCTAAGAGTGAAACCGAAACGTGGCAGGTGTGACGGCCTTCCTCTTCCTCCTTCTCCTGCTCCTCCTCAAGATCAAGTCAGAGCCAGGGACGCCTCCAACGTCAACGCAGGACTCGGGTGGCCTCATCCTCGACCTAGATCGCTTGCAGTTCGAGCTGGAGTGCGTCGAGTGCCAGGAGAAGCGCTTCGGCCTGCACGTCATACCGATCAAGGATCGAGATCCCAAATTCTACGACCTTACCTGTCGTCGTCGTCGTCGTCGTCGTCGTTCTCGTCGTCGGGTGGAGGAGGGTCAGGCTAGCTAAATTGGACGGCCCCAGGGAGGAGCATAAGCTGCAGAACTTTCTCCACTGCGAGAGCGAGACGGAGGCCCAAGTCGCCAAGACGGAGTCCAGGGAGAAGCTCAGGAGGAGCTCGCAACGACCCAGGCGAAGCTGGACGAGAAGACGGTGGTGCTCGAGCGGCAGGGGGCAACCATCAAGGAGTACGGCCGGACCCATGACAGACTAACATCCCGCAGGCATGCGAGACCCCCCGCTGGCCAAACTGAAGAGCATTCGACGGTGCCCTCCCCCAGGATGCACGAGAACACCCGGCGCGCACGAAGAGCATCAGGGCGCCCGCCCCGAACCGACCTCGAACTGCTACCTCGGGCCGACCGCGCGCGGGCTCCGTCGCGCAGGCCCTGCAGAAGCAGGGGGCCACTGGGGCCACTGGCACCGCCGGCGCCAGCATGGCAGCTGCCTCGGGCGCTGGAGGTCGCCGAGGGCAGGCTCGGCTCGGCGGCGACCGAGGGCGCCCAGCGTCGCCCAGCGCAGGCCCTAGCCGCAGCCCGGGAGGCTCGTGGCGGCGCTGGACCGTGAAGATGGTGATGATGATGCTGATGCTGATGCTGCTGCTGATGCTGCTGCTGATGATGATGTTGATGATGATGATGATGCTGCTGATGATGCTGCTGCTGATGATGATGATGATGAGGATGAGGATGAGGATGATGATGATGTTGATGATGATGATGGGGATGATGATGCTGCTGCTGCTGATGATGGTGCTACTGACGGTGATGATGCTGCTCATGCTGATGCTGGTGATGCTCAGGAGGACGATGATGGTGATGCTGATGATGTCGATACTGGTGATGCTGATGATGCTTATGATGATGCTGATGGTGATGATGATGGTGCTGATGATGACGGCTACGATGATGATACTGACGATGATGCTGATGATGGTGATGCTGATGATGCTGATGATGATGCGAATGATGCTGATGATGCTGATGATGATGCTGATGATGCTGATGCTGCTGCTGCTGCTGCTGCTGATGATGATGATGATGATGATGATGATGATGATGATGATGATGCTGTTGATGATTATGATGATGCTGATGATGATGCTGATGCTGCGGCTGCTGCTGATGCTGATGCGTCTGCTGCTGAGTTTTGGCCCCCCAGCGCCCATTTCTCGCCCCCCGCCACTGTTTCCCTTTGTTTCCTTCCCCGCCCCCTGATGTATCTCCCCTCCCTGGGTCCGTCGGTCAAGCCGACCCGTCGACCGACCAAGTCCGTTGATCAGGCCCCGACCGAGCAAAAACTTTCGGAAGCCCGCGCGCTGGACCAAGGAGCGCACCAGGGGCCGCGCCAGAGGCGCCGCAAGGGGGGGGGGGAAGCCCCGACCGAAGAGATCCGTGCCAGATATCAGAGGCCTCTTGCTCGTGTGGACTTGTTGCCCTTCTCTTCGGACGAGAGCCGGGTGAGACAGCGGCGGCCCTCCCGCCCCCCCTTGGGCGTGGATTAATGGGGGGGTCACAAATGGGGGGGTCAGAAAAGGTCCCCTTTCGTGCCCCTTTCGGGCCCCTCCAGAGCCCCAGGGGGCTCGTTTGGGTACCGTTTGGGTACCTTTTCGGACCACGCTCGCCACCCCCCCCATTTATGACCCCCCCATTACGCGGCGCCCCCCCCCCCCCCCGCCCCCCGCCCTCCCCTTCACGCTCCTCGTCCTGCCCTCCTCCTGCTAACCCCCTCCCCCCTGGCGATAACTCCCTCCCTCGTCCCCTCCCCCCTCTCAGCCCTCATCCTCAACTCCCCCCCCCCTCCTCCTCCTCCTCTCCTCCTCTCCTCCATCCTCCTCCTCCTCCTCCTCCTCCTACCTCCTCCTACGCCGCCTCCTCCTCCTCCTGCCGCCTCCTCCTCCTCCTCCTCCTCCTCTCCTCTCCTCCTCCTCCTCCTCCTCCTCCTCCTCCTCCTTCCTCCTCCTCCTCCTCCTCCTCCTCCTCCTTCCCCCTTCCTCCTCCTCTCCCCCTCCCCCTCCTCCTGATCCCTCCTCCTCCCTCCCCTCCTCCTCCTCCTCCTCCTCCTCCTCCTCCTCCTCCTCCTCCCGATCCTCCCCCGGGTGCATCGGCGGCCCCCCCGCCGAGGTGCTGAGCTCCTCGCACGCCGGCTCCTGCCAGGCCCGCGTAGTGCGAGCACCAGCCGTGCTGCTGGGCCCCCGCGGCGGCGCCCTGCTGAGGAAGAGCAGCACAGTCGGACTTGATTGGGGAGGGCGCGCGAGAGGACACGAGGCCCTTCCGAGGGCCACGCTGCCATGGGAACGCAAAAGGTATGGGTCGCGAAGCACAGGCCTCCTCCTCCTCCTCCTCCTCCTCCTCCTCCTCCTCCTCCTCCCGATCCTCCCCCGGGTGCATCGGCGGCCCCCCCGCCGAGGTGCTGAGCTCCTCGCACGCCGGCTCCTGCCAGGCCCGCGTAGTGCGAGCACCAGCCGTGCTGCTGGGCCCCCGCGGCGGCGCCCTGCTGAGGAAGAGCAGCACAGTCGGACTTGATTGGGGAGGGCGCGCGAGAGGACACGAGGCCCTTCCGAGGGCCACGCTGCCATGGGAACGCAAAAGGTATGGGTCGCGAAGCACAGGACACGAGGGTACTCTCGATCTGGCAGGGTCGACCTACGACTCAGGGCCGACTGTAGGGGGGGGGGGACTGGCTCAAAGGGAACAAGCGTACACCCCGCGAAATGCTTAAGAAATCATGGGTTAAGAAATTCATAGTCTCAGAACTTGGATAAACACCCAACGTTTCCATGAAAATCTCAAGATTTACATTGAAACGTTAAGAATAATCGAGACTCTGGCCGAAAACTTAAGTTTTCTTAAGCATCGCCTAAGGTGTAGAGCTTGTATCGGCGGTACATCGCCGGTAGGATCGGCGATGGGCTCCCGATGCCAGATGCCCAATCACGTGCCTGGGCGGGGTGGGCCGTGGGAGCCCCTGCCGGCGATGAGCAGGCGATCGGGGGTCGATGCATCCTCTACCGGAGCTCATCCCCCTTTCTCCAGGGGGGAAGAAAACGGGGACAATGACCAAGACTGAACGCGGAAACGTCGTGCCGATTTTTGGTGGGTGGATCACCCTCGCGAGTGGGCGACGGCCGACATGGACCATGGCCAAGATCGGCATGGACAAGAGCCCGCGACGCCTTGGTCATGGTCACCATGTTTCTTCCCTCGGCTAATGTGAACTCCAGAATGATATAAAACTGTTTGGGGCCAAGAGTAATACCTTCTTGAGCGGCCCGAGATCGCTTAGAGGAAAAAGAACTATGCACATACACCGATTCTGGCCAGGCCCATCCTGAGCCCAGGATCGGTGCATACGCCCTCCTACCTTGGCCAGGAAGGCATATGCACCGATCCTGGGTCAAGGATGGGCCTTGCCAGGATCGGTGCAATGTGCATAGTTCTCTTCGCCCGAGATCGCTGGACCACGTCCCTCGACAGCGCGCGAATCGTAGCAGGCAACAACAACAACTGACACGCCGCAGCTCCGTAGCCGCGGCGGCCGCGGGGAGAGAATCACACATCTTTCGCAGCCTGGAGTCCATGCCTCCTAGATGGGGTCGGAGGATCGCGTCGCATCGGCGATGCATCGGTGATGCGTCGGCGATGCACCAGCGGCGTGTGCAATGCATCGGTGCCGTCGGCGTGGAGAAAACCGGGCTCCACATCGAGCCGCGTCCCCGATGTTCGGCGATGCGGCGCGATCTTCCGACCCCATCTACTCAGACCCCATTTTGGAAGCCTGAAAGACGAACGAACAATAGCATAAGCATGATTTCTTGGAGCTTCGCGCGGATTTCTTGGATCAGCGCTGTACCCCCTTCCAGGGCGCACTCCGCGCGCCAGGGGGCAGCACTGGAGGCGCCGCCAAGGTGGCCCATCGCAGATCCAAGAACTTCGCGCGGAGCTCAGATCAGCGAACCTGTGCTGATCTGCCGCGTTTCGCTGTTCGCTCGTGCCTGCTCCGCGGCCCGCACTCGGAGGGCCACGCCTGCCCACCCGACGTCCGATCCTGGCCCGGCCCATCCCGAGCCCAAGAATCGGCGTGCACGCCCCCTTGGCCTGGGGACGACGGTGCACACACCGATCCCGGGCCTCGCCATCGCTCGGACGTCCATTCCCTGTGTTTTTTTTCGGCTTCCTGCGTGGCTTTTCCGCCAAGCGATCAGGGATGCTCCTCGATGGTCCTCGCCGAAGGAAACATGCACACGTCCGAGCGATGCCAAGGGGCCAGGGCCGCGGCCGGCATCCGCTTCCGCCCCGGGTCCTGCGCGCCCGGCAGCCGCAGCGGGGGCACGCCGCCCGCGCGCGGGCCCCGCCTCCACGGCAGCAGCGCCGCCTCCGCCTCCTCCATCGCGGCGGCCAGGAAGGGGTGCTCGCGCAGCCCCCTCGCGGTGCCGCGGCGGACCGGCTCCTCCTCTGGGGGAGCCACCCGGGGAACGAGCAATGACGTGAGAGCGTAAAGGTTCGGAGGTCCGTACGGACTTCTTGGATCTGCGTCGGACCCCCCCCTGGCGGCGCCTCCAGCGCCGCCCTTGGCGCGCTGGCGCGCGCCAGGGAGGAGGGTCCAGCGCCAATCCAAGAAATCCGCGCAGCCCTCCAAATTTTCCGTTCATGTCACGATCTGTTCCCCAGAACAAACTCCCAGACAAGCTCGCACCGAACAAAAAACACGAAAAACAACTTTTGGCCATTTTCGGCCTGTGGGGATCTCGCCGGGCCCCTTGGACCTTGGACCCTTTACTCGCCGTTTTCGACCTCGGGATGAAAAACAGGCCCTAGGGAAAGGGTCGCCTTGTCCGCCCCCCCACCCCCGATCGAGGAACAGCCAGACGTCGGATGTTCGGGCTAATGTCGCCTAGCTTCGCGCATCGCACCGGCCCGCTGGGAGCAGGGCGAGCGCTCTTGCCGAGGCCAGGCCGCGCGAAGCGCGATGATCCTCGCGCCGCCGCGGGCCCCTCGCAGTGCCGCGTCGGGCTGGCTGCTCCTCTGTCGATCAGGGGCCCCGAAAAACGCACGTGCACATGACTTGTCGTCGTTTTCGAGAGTATGCACTCTGGCCATCGCTCGGACGTCCATTTCCTGTGTTTTTTCTGTTTCGTGCATGGTTTTTTCGCCAAATGATCAGGGATGCTCCTGGATAATCCTCGCCGAAGGAAAAATGCACACGTCCGAGCGATGCCAAGCACTGCGCGGGAGTTCGTAACGCGAGGCTGGCCTCGCAGACGGGGGGGTCGTGTTCATGTACGCGGCTGGGCGCGCACGTCTTGTGTAGGCTCCGCGTGAGCGTATGAACGTAAACTTCAGGAAGCCTGCGCGGATTTTGGATCGGCGC